AAAAGGGTGGCCCCCCCCCCCCCCCCCCCCCGCACGTTCACACGCCGAACCCTATATCCCTGTTGCTTCAGGTGACGCCGACAAGATGTTGTGGCATGATGGGGACGCGGGGGAGGGGCCGGACTGGGTGGAAGAGGGAAGCCCCGTGGGTCAGTACTATGGGTTGGGGGGGGTGTGGACGACGTGGGACGACCTGCGGGAGATAACAGAGAACTTGGGAGAAGATTCGCCCGCGAGAGCGGTGAGATTGCCTGGTCGGTGTGGGCCGTACATGGCGGCGGGGGGCGAGAGGCGGGATAGGGGGCAGTTGTGCGCGTTGTCTTGCAGGTTGGAATCTTGGGCCATTGGGGGCGGCGGCAGGGGGGGGGGTCATGGTCTCACTGATTTCTTCTAGCCTTGCCGTGGGGCGCTTGAGCGCGCGTTTCACTTAAAAAGACGAGAGCATGGATCTGGAAACTGCTGGCTCTGGCGCGCCGCTCTTGTTGACGTTCTCGATACCGTTCCCGTTGGAGCCATGATTTTGTTCTTGAGGTAGTTTTCAAGTTGAAGACCCCGTACAGCGGTATGCATACCTGCTGTTTCCTGGTTGTGACCAACAGGGAAGAGATGGCGTGATTAAAGCAGGTGCTACTGACCGATTGCTGCATTCGTTCGCCGGGGGCGAGCACACACGGGCCTCCCCGCCGGGGGGGGGGGGGGGGTCCACTACCCTGGTCGTTTTGTCGGACTCTTCCACCTTATGTCATCGCTCATCATCCAGGAACTAACGGTGCGGATTACCGCTTGGTCCTCGACCAACAGATATTTTGTTGTTTATTCTTCGTTTTCTGAGTGTGGACCCCCCACCGGCTTGATGCGCGCGAAAGGTCTCAACTGAAGAAGCCATATCAGGATATCCGGTGGGACCGCCGTACATGATGCACCCCCGAGACTGGGCGAGAGTTCTCGACTTGTGGGTGGCGTTGTCCCCCAAGGTGCACAAGGGGCACCCGGGCATCCTCGCAGAGATGTACGGCTTCTGCATCGCCGCGGCGCACATTGGGTGAGTTTTTTTTTTTTTTTTTCTTCCTCTATTTGTTGGGTAATTTGCGCCCCCGTACAAATGGTCTTGGCTCGGTGGGTGTTAAGTCTTATGGTTGCCGACGGTGGGGTACGGTTACAGGAGCCGTCGTTGGTGCGATGTTTGTCGGGTGCAAACAACGGCGTCACGGTCGCGGTCGTCGTTGTTTCGTGTTGCTCCGATCCACGTGGTACGCTGCGGTTGAATGAATGCCGTTTGTTTGTTTGTTTGTCGCTGTTGCTCGAGTCATTTTACACCTTTAGCTGGTTTGTTGCTCTGCTGGAGCACTTGGCATCCTCCTTGTACGTGTGTTTCCTGCTGCCTTGTTCTTCTTTTTTTGCAAGTTTCAGGTATCAGCCCGGTTAGGCGCGCCCTGTTGCCGTTTATTTGTCTCGTGTGTGTTTCGAAACGTGTTTCATGTTGAAGGGAAGGGAAGGGAAGGGAGGGAAGGGCGTTGGGGTCAGTCTCGCGACCAGCAGTGCCTTGTCTACACGCGCCTTCATGCCCGCTTTTTATCTTTGACAACCTACGACCGCCTTTTGTCGGTTTCCCTCCCTCCCTCTCTCCTCCCACTAAATACTACGATACAATGAAATGAAAACACAGGCTGCGACATCGCGTGGCGTACGGGCTGATGGTGTCGGACGCAGGAATGCCGGGCAAGGAGGGGTGGCCGTTGGTAGACCAGATGGGAACGAGCGTGTGCGACCCCGAGTCTGTGGACCACCGGCGGGGGAGCCTTCCCCCCATCGTGCACTATTGCCAGGTGCGGTGGCTGCGGCGGCGGCGGCGGCGTGTCTGTCTGTGCCTCCCGTGCTCATTTTCGCGCGTGGGAGGGGGGGCGGGGAGGGGCGGCATTATTTTTGTTGAGAAAGACGTTGCGGGTAGGCAGTCATAGGTATTTAGCTCGTAGGCAAAGAATTTAAAAAGGAGGTAGCTCGTAGGTAGAGGTGGTGGCTGTGATCCCTCGAAGGCTGGCAGCGCATCAACGAAACCGGGGGCGGGGCTGCTGGTCTGTACGGTCACCCTCGGACTATTCCTTCTGTGTGCCGTTCTTTTCTCTGATGCGAGGATGCTCGAGTCAAGGTTTGTCCGTCACATATAGCTTCTGTGTCTAATGTGGCGGGAGGGCCACTGAGCTGAGGTCCAAGAGAAGTGCGTGGTGGTGTACAGCAGCAGCCCCTACGTCAGCAAAGTTGCTTGAACGGACAGAAGCTGCTTGGACCGACGCTCGTCTACCGGCGGTCTCTCTGTCTCTCTCTCTATGTCTCTCTCTCCCGCCGGTTCGTATCACCGTGGTCGCCCTTGCCCTCCATTGCACACCGCTACAGTTGTATGTGCCTTCGATGCCACTATCGCCAATCTCCCATGTCCACCTGCTGTGTGTTTCCAGAGCGACACATGCACGCATGCCCGGCTAGAATTAGTTAATCACGCCTCGACTTCCTTGCACCACCGCCCCCCCGCCTCCCTCCCTCCCTCCTTCCCTCCTTCCCCCCCCCCCAGATGTACCGGGTGGGCACCTTTATGTGGGGCAAGCGACACCGCACCCACCAAACCTTCTTCGGCTGCCACTCGGACTCCCTCGAGCTCCCCCCGCCGGACTACCTCGCGGGGCCCATGGCCGAGGTCCGCGTCCACCCGCGCCGCGGGAGGGCGCAGTTGGGGGAACAGGCGGAGCCGGAGCGCGTGCCGGCGGTGACGGGCATGAGGCAAGGGTACGCCATGTGCGCGGTGCTGCGAGCCATGAACGAGGCCCTGGTGAAGTACAAGTACCGCTACTGCGAGCGCGGCGACGTGAGCGGGGGGGTGCGGAGGTTCACGGACCTGTCGAGGGAGCAGCTGGATGCCGACGAATATTCGTGATTTCGTGTGATGAGGCAGAAGGAGGGAAGATGCCGGTGGCGGCCGGCGGTGACGGCGATGATGGCGGTTCCTCCTCTCGCCTTTTGTTGTTGTTGTTGTTGTTGTTGTTGTTGTTGTTGGACGCTCGCTCGCCCGGCAAGAGAGCGACTAACGTCCCGTCGAAGGGAGGGACGTCTCGGGATCGGTCATATTCACTTAGTGTTAAGGGGGGGTATTGCCATTGATGCATGCGCCTTGTGGTACCCTCGATAGGGTTTAGTTGGCGGGGTTGTGTATTTGCTAGAGGACGGAGGGAGATATGTATCTCTTATGAAACAAGTGCTGCGGGTCTCCCTGCTGCTGCTATGTATACATGTTTAGCGGATGGGGGTGGGGGGGGGGTGATGGGGTGCGGTGCGTGCTGTGTCAAGTAGTTATCTCGGTCGGTTGGGTGGGTAGGTGAGGGGGAGGCAGCGTTGTGGTGTTTGACGGGCAAACAGAACCTTTTCGACACGTTTAAGCTCAGCGGTACACGTGTCCCCCTGCCCTTGTTTACATGGCGTTTTCTGCCAGGGATGTGACGAAATGTATGATTTTCTCAGCAGGGCGGATCCGTCGATGTTGACGTGCTGTAGTTCTCTCTGTGCAGTGTACTCTGTGGCGTCGCGGACACGATGCCCGACGCACTTCTCTTGCGAGTAGTTGCCGCGGTGTTATTAGAGAAGGTTCGTCTGTGGCCCTCTGGTAGAGGTCGCGGTGCCGTGGCTGATGCCCGGTCCGCTCCACTTTTTGTCGGCCGTGATGTACGCTAGGTTTGTCATTTATAGACATCATAAAACGCGCCTCGCCCCAATGTTTGAACACCCGGTACCGGATGATCTTGGTACGCGTATGTATCGCGGGTAGATATTTGTTCTTGCCTGTCTTGATGGTCACGAGGAGTTAGCTCTTGGCGATATCCTCTATCCTCCACGATCGGGTACGAATGTATGCACCAAGATGACCGGCGGTACAAGCACGCAAGCCTTGGCTCTTCAGTTCGCCGATTGGACGAAGACGCGTGTGAGAGAGAGAGACCTGGGTGGCAGTGTGGTCCACAACAACTTTGTGTCGCGCGCGTATATAGCGAGAGAAACTATTTCTAGACTACGGTATAGACGCGCGACTTCCCTACAGCGCCACTGCTGTCTGTTGCTGTTCGAATATTCATTCTGGTTCGTTGTCGGCAGCAGGGAGCGCGGGATCTGACCCCCGCTTTGCGGTTCTTTCGTGTCTTGTCTCTGCCCCTTTCTCGAAGCTGCTTCTCTTCTCCAATTCTGGCACAAAACCTTGAATGCTTGCTTCGTGCTCATGACTGAGACTGAGGTGATGCCTGTTGCCCCCATCTACCGCCGCCCGCAACAAAAAGAAAAGGTTTCGCGCATGGTGTTGTGCCCCCGCGGCTTGCAAGACCTGCTGGATGATGGCCGAGGGCGTCGGACCTTTTTCTTCGCAGGGCCTCGTCCTTTCCGTGATCGTTTCTCGGACGGACGCCCGGCCGGCAGATAGGTATTTCAGTCGGCACACACGGCGCAATCGCCTCTGCCACGAGGGGCGTGCTTTCATCTGCGGCGGCTCACCAATCAATAATTTATTCCTGCCTAATCGCTACGCTACTATTATAATATTGCTGCGCTTGCTGTACAACTATTGCGAACTGCGGTGATAGTCAAGGTTGTTTACCCAGCCCAACCCCGGGTACTAAATTAATTCACTCTACAGCCTGTATCAGGTAGAGGATCCTATCTATCTATTCTACCGCGCATGAAGGGGTCGGCGCAGTACACATCACGCTGGATAAACACCACCTAATCGTCGGCACGCCGGGGCCGGTCCCACTCCTCTCTCAACACCACCACCCCTCGGACACTTTGCCGCATCACTCAGACGTTTACCCGCGGGATGCTATGCAGCTCTTCGTTCCCAATGAGCCAATCCGCCAAACAGCAAAACAAGACAAGACTGTAGGCAATACGGAGGATTGGTTGCACAAGAATATAATTTAGTTCGTGCGCACAACAGCCAACTGTCCAGACGCCGGCCGGCCGGCCCCGCTACCAACAAACCGGTTCCGCCCGTCTAGTCCAACACAGCGGGGGCTAAGAACGGCATCCGAGAGAGCGCGGGCCTCGCCTCCGGCAGGTGCAAGAAGAGGCTCGCGACCAGCTTCCCGGTGAGGTAGACCTCGCCCCCGCACCCGGCCGCGGCCGAGCTTCCCTCCTCCTGGCTGGCGCGCACGGCCGCCTCGAGCCGCCGGAGGGCCACGTCCAACCGCTCCCGGACCCCGCGGTCGTTCAGGTGCAGCACCCGGGAGAGCACGCCCATGCCGGTTCTCAGGTCGACCGCGCCCTCCTGCCTTCTGGCCAGCTCCGCCGCGGTGGCGGCCGTGCCGACGGAGACGCTAAGCGCCCGCCGGGAGTCCAGGACGATCTCGAGCAGCGCCGTAAGGGCTCGCTCGCCGATTCCTCCGATGCCCGCCACCAACGCACCCCCTCCTCCTCTTACCGCCGCCGCCGCCGCGTGCTGGCTTCCGGAGCAGGCGTCATCCTCCTCCCGCTGCTGCTGCTGCTGCTGCTGCTGCTGCTGCTGCTGCTGCTGCTGCGGCGGCTGCTGCTGCGGCGGCGGCTGCTGCCCGCACCACACCAAGTGGGCCAGCAGGTCCGCGGCCTGGTCCGGGCACGCCTTGAGCGCCGCGAGCAGGAAGCCCCTGTCCGTCACCGCCTCGGCCCCGCCCCCGAGGGCCTCTTCGACGCTCCTCCCGGCCCCGCGCGCGCCGGCGAGGAGCCGGCAGACGGCGCTCACGACGGCCTCGAAGCCTCCGACACGCTGGAGCGGCAAGGCCACCGTTTTCGCCGGCGCGGCCGCCGCCCCAGCGTTGCCT